GCTCATGCCCCGCTTTGATTCCCCCCCTTCCCTTGGGCATTTAATCCCTGCTTTGGGTTGGTTTGGGCTTTTTAACACCTTTACGGTAGAACCCAGGGAAAAACGCTAGCGATGAAAGCAAGAGTTGAAACACATTCTCATCTTTTCTCCAGTGACTAGATGGTTTTTTCCAAAGAGATGCTATACTCAAGCTTTGGAAACCACTTTGAATCCTTTCAAAAGCAAAACCGGGTAAAAATTAAGTCTTTTAGAGTCAAAAGTTGCTCTGCACCTCTATGTGCAGGAGGCTTTTAACAGAAAAAAAAGACTACCACATACTGGAGAAACAACAGCATTAAGTGCTCGTTACCATGTGAGGCACATGCCCAGCTACTTGTTGGCCCAAAACAACTTGTAGCTGGTTAAATTCAGCACAACCTTACACAGACCTCACGAGGTGCAAGGCTGCAATAGGTAGAGATGAAAGAATTTAAGGAAGTCGACTGTGAACAGAATAATGAGCTTATGGGTACTTTGCTCAGCAAAATTCAGCCATCGTTGATCATGTCTAAACTCATCCTGTGTTGCTGCAATTCAATCCTGGTTCAAATTACTTGCTCTAAGGGAAGGGAGGGACACATTTGCCAGTTAAAACACCTTCATGCAAAACTCCATGTTTGATACCACATCATATAACAAACTGGCAAAACCACTGCCTGTAAAAATCCTTTTTTTTTAATTATTCTTTTGGGAGAGGGGGGCAGAGGAGAGCAGTTTCCCTCTCCTACCTCTGCTGGGATCACCAAAGAAACCAGAGTCACTCCAAAACTCACAAAAAGGACAAACCTGGAGCAATTCCAAGGTAGCCCCTTGTTTAAGGGCAGCTGAACAGTGCAGCCCTTCAGGATGGGGTTTCTTTTGTTCACCTTTTAGGTTAAAGCAGATGGAGAAAACTTAAAAAGAGTTTCTCTTAAAGCAAGAAGACTGATGGAAGATCCAAGTTGAATGGGCAATTGTGACAGACAGTACGGGGAGAGGGACTGACGTTCCCAGCTCAAAGGCTTCAACCCAAACATGCCAGAATTAACACATTCCTCCCAGTGAAGCAGAATGATACAAGATCTGAAGGAAGGGTTGAAAGAAACAGGATCTGCAGAAAAATGCCGAGCTTGGTGCACCCAAACCGCTCTAACGCTCCCCAGGAGGAGGACGCCCTCTCCCCTCAAGGCTGTGATCTGCTGCAAAGCTGCTGCTGGGCACGACGCACGCCGAGGCACAGAGCGGGCCGTGCTTCCCCCGGTGCCAACAGAAAGGAAAGGGACCCAGCTGGGATGGACGGATCCCTGCCTCCCTGCCCAAGCTGTTCCTGAAGAGATTCGTGTCCCCTACGACCACACCGCCGCTGTGACAGGCAAACCAGACAGCGGGTACCAAGTTCTCAGCACAGATTTACTTCCTGGGAATATCCCTCTTCATCCTGGACCACTCCATTCACTATCGGTAAGCTGAGGCCATCTCTGCCTTGAGAAATGCTCTGCAAAGGAAGTGGTGTCAGGGACCCTTTTTGCCTCTTTGTACACATAACTGCAGCCTAAAACAAGTTTCCGTTTTGAAAACGGCTCCACAGCATCTTTCAGCATCAAAACTATTTAAGCCAATGGCCAATTTTCAATCCCTGGAGAATCACCAGAGCACGAAGTCAACGACAACAGGCAATGAAAACCAAACAAGAATAACTTTAGTCAGAACTGTTAAGCGAGTCAGACATCTCTGTAGATCAAGGTCTTAACATAAACTTGAAAAATGCTTTGAGACACAGACTAAGCAACACCAACCCTGCAGCTCAAAGAGCATTTTGGAAGTTTTTTCTGCTACGGGGCTCTGCTCTCAACGGCATCGGCAAGACGCGGCCCACACCACCGCTGGATCACAGGCGGCAGCAAACAGAGGATGGGGAGAAACATCCTCATTTCTCTTTGGGAGCAGGCTACAAGCAACAGCAATTATTCGCAACTCCATTAGCTTTGGGTAGTTCAAACGCTTGGAATGGCTGGAAAGGGAAGCAGGTGAACGCCTGTTTGGATCTTCGCTGTCAGCTGAATGAGAGAGCAACCACCCAAACAGGCTGTGAGGGCAGTCAGCTGTGATCTGACTGGCTCCCGCCTGATGGAGCACCACAGCCCTTAAAACAAGAGTGACTGATCGCGGATGGAAACAGCATTTACACAGTAGATTTTGCAGACCAGTGGGAAGGGGGATAATCTCAAATTTAAATTACTACAGGATACACAGAGAAAAAGCCATTTTCATGTACTTGATCCTCTGCAGTTCAGAGAAAGCAAAGACCAGGATTGCCAGAAATGCCTTTGTTCAGTTACCTGCTGCAAACTCCTCAATAGTCATCAATGGGAAGCGGATAAGAGAAAGCGCTTTGCCCAGTACTTTCCGCTTGTTCTCTGGAATCACCTGAAGTTGCTGCCGTTGACACTCAGCCTCCGACCAGCGAACCACTGCATTAAACAAACGAACCTCCCGGATCCCCAGGGTATCCCTCTCCAGCACCGCAACCAGGGTGTCTGCAAGGCAGGACAGACAGTGACAACTTTAGGCTCTAACCCAAATCACCCCATGTCACCTGGCCACAAGTACCCTACGTACAGCCAAGGCGAGTAAAAGAGAAGCAACTGAAAACACCAGCATCTCCCGAAAGCGCTGCCCGCAGCCTCTGAGGAAGGCAGATCTGCGTATTCTGTAACTCACCGGAGCAGCAAACAGTGCCCGTTTAATTGGCACGTTAATGGAAGTGCAGCGGACTGAGTTGGGACTTACCTGACGTCAGGTCTGGATAAGCAAGCAGCGTGAAACCCAGAAGGTTCCCCGTGCCTTACCTCCGCAGCCCATCTCATTAGGAGAAGGTTAAAGGCTGGATTTTAACGTTTATTAACTGGGCCCAGCAAATTTGGAAACCGCATACGGTAATTAAAACACCCAGGTCTTGCTTTCAAAAACGCAACACCTTTTTCACTCCAAAACCCGACAGAGAGGCAGGGAACAACGCCAGCTCTGCAAAAGAAGGCAAGTTACACCCACCCAAAACCTGCCAACATCAACAGAGGAAACGGGCTTTGGATCATGCCCAGAAAACTCAAGTTGCACCAAAGTAAGCAGATTCCAGGACAGTGCTGCAAGCAAGCATGCTCTTTTGCACATGCCTTGTCTCTGGCCTCTTCGTGGCAGTCCCCGGCAACAGATTGCTCCAGAACAGCAAAGCCACAAAAGAGAAGGGCCAAGTATTAACCTGCAGTAACTTCAGAGGCTAGCTTGGGATGAAAGCGTGTAGAGGGAGGAAAAAAGCTCACCCAGATCAATGTCTGTAAAGCCCTCCGCATTGATGGCATCTGATGTGTTCTTGTCTATGTTCTCGAGGCAAAGGCTGGCCAGCTGAGGCTCATCGAAAAGTCTTGCCTAGGAACGAAGAAGCAGTCGTTAACACAAAAGGTATTTTGAAGTTACACACTAAGTAAGGACCCCCCTTCCCTCCCAGAGCCCATCTTCATTAGCAATACTACGCCTGACTGCACCACGAATTCACTGGGCTGCAGCAGTCTTTCACAAGCAGTTAAGCATGACAAGGCAAACACTAGAAAAATCTGCATTTGGCATCAGTTCTGGTTTTGCTGTGCATGTCTTCAGGCACGTCTTTGTTTTCACATCACATCAGTTAACGCGGCTCCAGTGCTTTCCAGCACCATACTGACCGTGTCAGCTGAGCACGGGCAATTTTTACTACATCATTTTTATATTTAGAGGAAAGCTTTGCCCAATGACTCCGGGCCTGCTCGCTCCAGGAATATGCAGAGACAGCTTATTCTGCAAGAACACCGTCACACTGACCTCACGTATTAGCAAAAACGCCTCAGCAGGCACACTGCTTGTGTCCCAGGGAGAGCACAAAGCCCTGTGGGGCGCGGGGTACGCAGCCTGCTTACTGCACCTGCACGTTTTGCACAGAAACGGCTACTCTGATCTACTTACCTTAAAGAATTCCCCCCGAAACGGGTTACTACGCCTAACAAAGCCTGCACACAGCTTGGGCAGTTGCTCAGAATCTCTCTGGCCAACTTAGGCGCAGCCTCCTAACAATTTCACTGCCACTTCAGATCCCCCTGCACCGCCAAGACACGTTACCAACCCTGCGCCTAACATAACCAGAAGTGAGGTGGGAACACACAAAAGTCACCAAGGTGACCTCTTATTTCCAATGCTTTGGGTTTTGCTATTTAGGAAGGAAGTGCCTTAACATTAGAGCTCTCGTTAGCACAAGAGTACACTGCGACTTCTTGAACTTGCTGCCACAGGTAAGGTTTAAAAATCCGTGTTTTGGGCTGGGAATTCAGCCACTGAGAGAGGCTAGCGCTATCGAGCGTCTCCTGCTTCACCCTCGCTCAGCAAGGCCAACCTTCAGTGCCGAGACCTCAAGCGCACAGAGCCAAAACAACTCTCCCATTTTCTCAGGGACCAGGGAAGCTTCAGCAGTCGTCACCTCTTCCTGGGGCTGGAGGATTGCCAGTGCCTTATACTCTTGGCATCCAAGAGCTGTGACTGACTCAGACTTTACTACTGTAGTGGCTCTCTCTCGACACGCGAAGGACTTGTGCTACACTCGCAGAGCTCTCCCCCACAGCAGCTTTAGGCAAACTATTATTTCCTTCTTGATCAAAGTGACATTTGCACGCACGCCGGGCATGAAAGAGCATCACTGTTCACTATGAGGCAGGAGAGCTATTCACCATTAATATTTCTGCCAGAGCAGCAGTCACCTGAAACGCTGTCAATGACATAGTTGCTGGACCAGCAGGATCCAGCAATGACACACGCAAAGGAGGTTTGGGGCTTTATGATCTTAGGTCCACAATCTTAAGACTGTTGGGAGAGGTTTTGTACGAGATGGATCTCAGGTCTGTAACTGACTCTACAAATTGTCAACCTGTTGCAGTAAAAGTAGAAAACAGAGACCAATGTTCACACTGAAGGACCAGAACGGAGAGAATTTTGAGACCAGATCCATTAAAGGAGGTGCCTCGTGCAGCCAGTCATTGAGGTACAGATATGCTTCTGAAAGAACACCAGCCTCAAACACTTTAGAGACTTGATATACTGCAATAATGAACATAAAGTACATACGAATCACCACTGATAACTAATCATAACTGATAAGCCACAAAGAAAAAGAAAGGAAAGCATGTCTCCAGCTGGCATTTCAGCTGCCCCAGTGCAGCTGACAGAGTGCTAGGCAATATCTTGGTTTTGATACCTGAAAAACTAAGACACCTTCCTCTTGTGCCAAAGGACCTTTGTGACTTGTAAGGAAGTCACCACAAACCTCAATGTCACCTTGCCAAAGCTGCAAAGTCAGGCTGCAGAGACTTAGCGTGCCGCAAAAATCCCTGCATAAAGAACATCACCAAAAAGCTGACACCTCTAATCCTCATGAGGTGATGGCTGGTGCAAGATCCCTCTTCAAAACTGCAGCCTACGGGAACGATCTCTCCTCAGCTCTTAGATAACAGCTCCTGATCTTTCAGATTGCTGAACCCAGAGAGTCAGAGTTACAGTTGTCCTACCACGCATCAGGTGGGAGCGCAGATTTGGCTACCGTCACCCGAGCAAGAATCCTGAAGTCCTGAACCTTCCCCAGAGAAGCGCAGTGGGGTTCCCCGCCACGTCCCAGGCTGCCTCGCCCGTTGGCAGCCCGGGACATTTTCCCATGGCCGGCGGAGAAGAGCTACGTTAAAAAGAGGAGATGCAAAGAGGGACATTGTCTTTTGCAGCAGCAGCTGAATGCCAGCAGCGAAGAGTGTCTACAACAGCGATGTAATGTGCAACTACTTCGAGAACTCGATCCAAATATTTGAATTCAAAATAAAATTCCAGCCTAATCGCAGCAAACAAGCAAAGAGCTCAGCAGCAACTGCTCCAGGGCAACACTGCTGCCATTTCTGCGAAGCCTGCTGGTGTGGACACGCTGCCACCGATGCGGCAACCACAGTCGGAGCCTGAAAGGTGCTTGTACTCCTGACAAGGAGGAAAAAAGGCCGCAGACAAGACAGGCTGGGCAAGACAGGACAACCCCTCAGAACCAGACCTCCTTAGTGTGCTGCTGTGAAAACTCCTCCGCAAGCTTTGTTTAACATCAGAAATCGCAGCAGCTTTCCAGGCTGATCAGAAATATCCCTCCAGAGCTAGTCAGAAGTATGCCCGTTCCCTAAAGGAAAGAAACTCACGCACACAAATCCTATTTGCTTCTTGTTCCTCCACCACCCAGAACAGGTTGTCCCTGAGAGGGTGGTGGCAGGGACCAGAAGGAAAAGACGGGCCTAGGAAATGGGAAGGACAGCGATGCCAGTTTAATCAACCTGCACACAAAGTCTGATATTCTCCAAAATAAGCAGAAGTTGTAAAGACTGTCTTCTAGTTTGCTGCTTGGAAGAGTCCAATGGCAGATGGAGGAGTCCAGCCCTCACAGATCGCATCAGCGAGGCACAAGGACACCCAACCAGCCTCACAGAGTCAAGAAACACAGCTGCCCTGAGACTCCAGGGCTGCGTGCCTCCAGTACTGCGGGAAGGCTGGAACAGGCTGAGGAAGAGATCACTTTGTTCCTCTCCTAGGGAAATAAACCAAAGCACTCATGAAAAAGTTGCATTTTCTGCCTTTCACCCCCATTTCTGGGAAACTACTGCAAAAAAAGGCCTTCAAAGAACGTCTGACCAGCTAGATGCAGCAAGCTTTGCGCAGAGAAAGTCCTCGCATTTCACTTTTCTTCTTGGCAGATGAAATTTTTCCACCCCGTTAATTTCTTCCCCAGCTCACACTCTGGAAGGAATCGCCTGCCACACCGAAACAGAAAGCAGGTCTCAAACAGCAGCAACATTTGCTGTATTTTATTGTTCCAAGAAGCTGCCCATCAGCACAAGACTCCTGTAAGGAAGAATTCAAAATGACACAGAACTGCTCCATTTTGGATGATCAACTCCGTTAACGCTCAGAAAACTTCTGCTTTCCTCTTGCTCAGGGGACTTAATGCAAAGGACTGCAAACTCACCTGTGTTAACAGCATGAATGCATTGTCTGCTCGGAGGTTTTTTTTAAGAAACTCCACACAATGAGCTTCAAGGGCTGGAACTGCATATTTTTTAGCTGTGTAAAGTGTTGTCATAACAGTCTCTGGTCCAATCTGAACTTCGTCTGAATAAAGAAATCTGAAAACATGCAAACAAACATTGCTCTGGTGAAGCCAATAACATAAACAGGGTAAAACCCCTCACAATTCATAAAAACATGTTTGTGCTTCTGCCTATTATCCTGGCCCCATTTCCTACACTTAAGGGACACAAGGGTTTTCACATCCTTTCCACCGACTTTAGTTTACAAAGTAGAAGCTTTTTAAAAAATAAAAAACCAAAACCCAAACCAAACCAAAACCACTCTTTACAGTATAACTTTTAATGAATTAAATAGCTGGGGTATCTGCTGAAGCACTCGAACAGCCAGCGAGCTGTTTAGCCTGCCACTTACACTAGGCTAGAACAGGCTCTGGCCAAGTACCCCTTAAAATTAATGGATTTGGCTGTTCAATTAGAGTAAACAAGGACAAAAATTCAGCCCTGCCTGCCTGCTTCAGCAGAGAAGCTCCATTTTACAAAAGTGATGAGCAGCACTCAGGCATACACCTCCTCTGCAGACGAGGCGTTTCATCCATGCCCCACTTTCCCTTCATCTCTTCACTTCACGTACACAACTGCTTCACTTCCTTACACGGACGTTCAAGTACAGCACCCGATGTCACTTCAGCGTAAAGCAAGAGTTAATTGCAGTGAAAAACAAGGACTGCCACGCTGCCAGCAAAGCATCAGCCTTCACCGTTAGGCCAAAACAAGGAAGTACATTCATACCACAAGGAAAAACAAAGGTCTTCATAGGAAGCCTGCCCGAGCCTCCTCATACCCAAGCATGCTGATCAGAAACAACAGGAACCGACAGGCCGAGTTCGGTAAAACCAGCGACACACTTGATGTTAGCCCTAATCCCATCCAGAGCTTGTGTTTACTGTTGTCCCTTTAACCAGTCGAGCATTTGCCAGTCAGGACCCGAAAGGCACGAAGCCCAGAGCCGTAACACTAACTGTGTGAACTGCACTGGGCATTCCTCTTCCACCGGGTATTCTGGAAACTCCAGCAATTTCTGCTCCTGCGTTTCTCTGAAGGGGGCACAGCAACACGTCGCGCGGCCGCTGTTCCTAGAGGCTTCGCGCGGCTCTTCTGGGGGGATGCCAGGCAGTGACCCCGTCTGGAGGGACTTGCTCCAGAGCAGCAGTGGAGCTCCTGGTCCTCTAGCTAGAGAGGGCCAGGATGCAATTCAGGGAAGCTTAAACAGGGGGATTCAGAGGCAGGGAAGCGCTCTCACTGCTGCTGAAAGCAGGCTTTTGTGCTGCTCTAGAGCATCTGTTAGTAACAGCGTCAAGCCACAGGCTCACGAATATATTTTGCATACATCCCTTCACCGGTCCTATTTGCACGAAGTAATCCTCTTTATTACGAGATTAAAAGCACACAGTTGCTCTAAAAACAACTAGTTCTCTTTACTGCAACGACTATGTCAGTATTTATTTTTACCACAGTCCAAACAGTGTGCGCTAGGAGGTCTAACAAGAGAGGCTCAAACTGTGAAGAAGTGTAGTATCAATTGAAAAGAAGATTTAGATTATAACCCCATCCAATCAAAAATATTATTTTCATGGTAACCCAAAGAACAATACTTAAAAAAAATTTCTCTCTCACGCAATTACAGCAGACCTATTAAAGGCCACTAGCCCCCAAACACAACCACAATCTATTGTCCAGAAGGGACCTTCTGCTGAACATTCAGCTTGGGCACTTTGTCCCTCGATAAGCTCCTGATCCTACAGCATTAGGTCATGGCTTGGACCAAGTCCAGAGACATATGTAAGGATCAGCTGCCATTTCAGATCAGTGTTCGGCGGGACTGGTTTTACTCTAGGAAGGTTCATACCACGTAGCTGGTGGTAAGCTTCCTACTGGAATGCAGCACCCAAACTTCCTTTGGCTCATTTCAGCTCCGAGCATTTTAAAAGCGACAGTTCAATTCCAGATTTAAGCATCTAAAGCATCACTGGACCATGTGCACAATGTCTCCTACACAAAATACAAACATTTCTGTGGAAATCCACCTAAAGGCATCACTTTAGTCTTTTCAGATGATGATTCCCAGACTCCGAGATCATATTGTTCATAGAAGTGCTGAAATCTCCGTACCAGCAGGGAAAGAACAGGACTTTGCCTCTAATTCACTCGGTATTTTAGCCTCACTAAGTTTTAAAGATAGATACTAACTCTGCACTCCAGAGAGATCTGCCTGGCAGACAGAGAGTCATACTCCAATTAGAGGGATTCCCCGTGTGCTGGTGTCTGGTTTAAAATGAGCCAAAGCGGAGGGGCTAGGGGCTCCCTATTATTTCTGGCCTTTCATTCTAGCAAAGACCAGTTTTTAAATCTTCTAAGATAGCACAGTCATGACCGAAGCACTTTTTGAAGGTAAAGCAAAAAGTGTGCCAAAGCTATATATAGTCATTGTTCCTGATAGGAAGCAAGCGGGGAACGTGTCAAGAGCACAGGGCTGGAAACCCCTGGAAGTAGGTTACAGAAATCCTATAGAAATGGGACAATGACTTTTCAGCACACATTCAGGATTGCTGCTGGATGTTATACAGCACCAGCCAAGCTTAAAGAAATCTGTGAATAGGATGTTACAGCCCCTTCCTCCTCCTTCCCCCAGCACGCAGGCTTACAATGCATGCTGCAGATAAAAGTCCAAAACCAGCTCTGCAAAAGAGGAATCAAACACGCACAAGGGGAGATACCGCACCGAGCGGCCAACACCAGTTTCATACCCGTGCTTACCTGTTACAACTCACTAACGTTTGCCCATAACCTGAACGAGCTCCGAGCGCTCGTAACTTACAGAGCTGTACGAGGAGGACTTTTCCCCATGTCTCTCAAATACCATTTGGATCAAATCAAACCAATTCATGAACAAGAATTTATGTCTGAACAGGTGACGATCAACCTAACTACAAGGGCCAGCCCGTGCACCTATTCCAACCGCTAACCAGAACTTCCCAACCGCTGCATTTCTGTGGTGGCACTATATATAACTAGGTATTTACAAAATTATAAACTACCCAGTTTACTTGTGCCCAGTCTGCAGATCAGCAGCGGGAGGGCACATTTGTTTAACTATTGCTTAACCAAAACACGGAGCAAGTCGGGTATTTTTGTGCGCTAGCTATGTTAGACTTCTACGCAGGAAAAGAGGGATTTAACACCAGCACTTAAACACCCTTGAACAGATCCACAAAGAGGTATTTTATTTAGAAACCTAACAATCTCCACTCTACAAAATGGCTCACTGCTTTCATGAACAACATCCTCCTTTACAACAAATCTGTTCATTCCGGTTATACTGTACATTAGAAGAGGCTTACTTCAGCAGCGCTAGGAAGGCAGCAGGCTCCACATCAGGCAGCTCAATCTCTGTAGAAGTTGTGGCCATTCCACCATTAAACATCGCATCGAAGACTGCGCTGCCCACAGCCAGCACAAACCTAGCATTAAAAAACAAACAAGAAAAAAACAAAACAAAACAAAACCACTTATGTTAAATCGTATTCATTTTCCAAAGAAATCCCAGGCTAGCTGCTGTTCCTCAAGGCCGCCCCCAGGGAAAGCAAATCGTTCCCAGCATTAAAGCAAAAGCGTTTTGCAACAGAAGGGAGTGTCAGGCTCTCTGTTCGGTTACTGCAAAAACACCCAAGTTGAAAGCAGCTTCATGTTGAGCTCTTCCCAAGATACAACACAGTAATGGTTCCCCACAGACAAGATCCAGTGCATCATGGAACAGAATACACGTGGCTGCTTTGCAAAGTCCTCGCAGGAGCCTACGGACCGCTCCCGAGGTGGAGGAGCTAAGAAACAGCAAAGTTCAGGAATTCAAGCTCTTCCAGAACCCAAGTCTTGGTGCAGTTCCCCACAGTCCCGTACTGAAAACACTCACGGAAAACTGGTCACTACACATCACCCGTCCTTGTCCCTTCTCCCAGCCGCCAGGAAGACATCCTTGGTGACAGCAGAGCAAGCTCTCAAGACACGCAAGCTCTCAAAACACCAGCAGCATCGCCGGGAGCTGCGGACACCAGCACCTCCTGCAGCAGACGGCACGGGAGCTGCCTCCCCTGGGCGCGCTGCCGCCTCCTCCCATGCCAAACCTGCTTTGGGCTTAGCCCAGAAGGCAGAGAAAACCTCCCGCGAAGCAAACCAGCACCATGAGGTGCACGCAACCCCTTTTGGCACCGCTGTGAGCTTACGTGGTAATTAATGGCGAGAGGCGCATTATTGGCCCTAAAGAAGTAGGAAGCAAGAATTCCCACAAACCAGGTTTGAGACTGAAAATAATATTCCAGTGCTCCCATGTAAACAAGATGATTTCCCTCACTGATAAACTCCAACTCCTGTTGGAGGAGGAGGCACAGACCAGGGCTGCTGAGAGGCCTGTGTAGATGGAAGCTGCTGTGCCTGCCTTGTGCCTTAGAAAAGCCATTTTGAGAACTTTCCCTGTTTGAAACTGCAAGAGACGCGTTTTTCCCAGGAAAGCAATCTTGCTCCCGGTTTCTGCAATCGAGCAGCGCTCCGCAGTTAAATACAGCACAGGCCACAGAGGTCACCGCTCAGCAGCGTGGGGCAGCAGAGGAGGCCAGGCTGCAGAAGCTGGAAAATTCAGGGGCTTTTGCTGCAGCAGAGTTTGACGCACACTTTGACAGCGGAGGATCAAGAACCGCGGGCAGAAAACCGCCCAGGACAGAAGGCACGAGACAGAAACCTCCAGCACTTGGACCCCACGGAAAGCCCATCACTAACAGAGAATTTCAGCTCGATATTGCTGAAGTAGGAAGTGACACAGAAGCCTTTTGCTTCTTCCTTTTCAACAAAATTTTTCATTTTCTCGCTTTTCACTCCCCTCCCATCCAGAGGGGGCCATCCGCAGACACAATAGAGCGAAGCGCCGTGGACGTGCCAGGCTCGTTTGCCGTGACGGGCTGTTTGGCTGACAAGCCGGGTTGTATTGTTTCTGGTCGGTTTAAGAGAGCTAGGGACAAACGACAGTGGTTACAAAAAAAGTGCACACATGCATATTTCTATCAAACCATTCTGAAGAAAAATGTCAAGAACAAATAAAAAACTTTGTTCACAAGACTGGGATTGCCAGATGAAACAAAAAAATCCTTGTTCCTACAAAAGCAGCGATGGTGGCGAGACAATCGCAGGCAGTATCTGCTACTAAAAATGAACATATATTAATTGCACTCTAAAATTTTCACTCTCGCAGCCAGCCCCGCACACAACCTCGACGAGCTGACAGCTTTCAGAAGCGATTTGAAAAGGGCATTCACTTAAAAAAAAACCCTCTCAAATCTTTGCTTCCATCTCACTCAGGAACAAGTCAGGCTGATTTTTTTAAACCGCTGAGCCCTAAAGGGACCCCAGTAGGCGCCACAGGACTCCAAATTTAAAGTTCCCTTAAAACACGAAGGGAACACAATTAACATAAGAAAATCCCTCTCTCTTCATGGTTTCTTCTTACCCTTCCTAAAATGAACACTCAAAGCTATTCTGAAGACACTCCAGGCAAAGCAGGGATGTGCACAGTTTCTGCTACACAGTCCAACAGTTTTCCCCAGCCGTGCAGGTCTGCAGAAGGAAGAGATGGGGCTTATTTCAGATGGGAGCAACACAACCATTAACCCAAATGGGCAGAGTACCAGGGCACACTTTCGTTTTCCCCTCCTATTTTCCAAAGCACTGTAGCGACCAGTGCACAGGAAACCTCTCCTGACCCCAAGGAGCACGGCCCAACACAAACGTGCCCCTCTCAAAAGGGAAAGGCAGGTACCCTGGGCTCAGCGCAGTAACACGCCTCTTGTCAGAGGAAGAATTCAAACAAAGGGTTATTTTTTAACAACTGCACGGTGGCCAAAACAAAGCGGACTGCTGACAGGATGCAGAGAAATGATCAGAAGCACAGCAGAAGAACCAAGAAAGCAACACTCGATTTCTCATCATTCCCTCTGCACGTCTAAAAATCAAAGTAACATGACTTTCAGCAGTAAGAGTCACAGGAACTTCCATACTTCATAATTTCCATAACTTCCAACTTAACAATTCAATTGTCTTCACAAGGATCCAAAGTTGACTCCAAAGGCTTCCAAAGCCCTGCAAGAAAACGTCTTTCATTCCACCACTTACAGCTTCCTACCCACCAATTTTCACTGCTTCCTTGTTCACCTTCACATCTCCACCTGCCCCCTAGTTTAATTTGGATAGCCAACAGTCCCGCTCTCTTCCTAGGCAACACCCTAATACCAATAAACCACTCAAGAACCACAACTGGATAGTCGCTGCTGCATACCACCTCCCTCCTTCACCCGCTCCACTGCGGAGAAATCTTAAAATATCTATTCCAGAAGAGCTGGCACAGGAACAGAGCAACACGTGACGCGCTGGAGCTCGGTGAAACTGTAGGTGACAAGAAGCTAATGAACGATGATGGTTTGCTGGCTGCATCCTTCCAGCACAAGGACAAGAGACACCAGGGGAACGGAGGAGGGGGCGGGTTCGAAAACCCCCGGAAGCCCTTCGCACGCAGCCCCAGCGGCCGAGCAGTGGAACACCTCGGCACACGACACTGCAGGTACCACAAGAAAAGACAGGACAAGCTCAGAAGAGAGACACCTGGGAACAGCAGCCAAACACCTACTCCAACTGTCCCCAAGCCGCGGATCTCCCAGGATGGAATATACACAGGGGCGCATCACCACTCACTTGCCCTGTTCCCTTTCGGGCCATGTTTTCTGGCCAATTAACAAGCTTAATTATCACACACATGCAGCTCCTGGCTGATGAGGTTTAGGTGTTTCTAATCTCATTGATGTCGCATTCGATGAAGCAGATCTAAAAAAACAAACAAACAACCAACCCACAACAACAAAACAACCCTTCCTTCTTTCTGCTGGGCCTAATCAACATATTGACCTTGGCCACATCAGCATTGCGAAGCCTCCAGGCAGCGAGCTCAGTCTGGCATTTGTTAGCCTTGACATCAAAAAAAAACTTAAGGCTGTTCCATCTTCTTCATGGCTGATTCGGCAGCAAGAAGGAACGAGCTCATGGCACAGAGAGTGCCCAGGGTATGCAAGCAACTTCCACAGGATCTGGAGCCTCCTGAAGGTGGAAAACGTCCGGTCTTCTCAGCGCTGCAGGTGCCTCACGGGACAGACGCTTGCACAGATGAACCTTCAGTCGAACCCAGCACAGCCACTTATGCCATTCACCTACAAGCAGGGCTTTCACCCACAAAATGAATGTCTGCTCTTAGTTGCTATGTGAGGTATCTACTGTCTGCCTCTATGGCTTTACACGAAGCGCTGAACGTGCCAGACTCCCTTAGAAACACACCTGAACCTACGGCTGTGTCACACTCAGAAACCTCCTCCCTGCACCACCACCACGCATGGACGACGTCACCTGCGACCGCTCGGCAGATGTGCCATTTAACCACCTCAACCTACAAAAGCGCCACCTCTGCTCTGCTCCTTCCCGGAGGAGCCCGACCAGGGAGCACCTGCACCATCACCTCCAGCTCCTGCAGGACTCTCAGATTCTTTGTGCTAACCAGCTGGCTGCCAAAGCCAGCAATTTTTAACACACCGCGCCCATCAAAGACGACAAGATACTGCAGACCAGTCCTGAAGGCACCACTAGCTGCCGTCCAAGAATCCTATTTAGAATCCACCCCTGCTGCAGCCATGCGTTATACCTGCCCTGGTCTGAAAATTAACACAATAAAACCATTCTGTAGAAATACTTACCTGTTAACTGTGCACTATTTCAGCCACCTACCACCAGAGTACAAACATCTGCCCTTGGTCGCTGAAGCAATACAGTGCCCCTCAAATTAAATTCACAGTTGCTTTGCAACTCAATTCCAGCCCAAAGTATCTGCTGCTGTCAGGCTGCTGTGGGAGAACTGAGCACAGGAGGGGTCTGGGTGGTTTTATTTTAAGCTCCCTGTTTCTGAAATAACCACGGTACTTCATGAATCATCAGGATATCCCAACTGTAATATCATATAGGCAAGTTTTACTAAAATCTATATAATCCGTAAGTGGGATGTCATGGCATGACACACTCTATTCTATCTTTACCACTCAGAGCACCAGATGGATTTCAGAGCAATTAAGCAGCATTTCACTTTGGGGCTATTTTTTTTTTTTTTTAAAGTTTCATTTCTTTCCAATTTACTTCTGGGCTCAACACTGCCCCTCCCCACCCAGCAAGCCTAGTTCTCAGGATAGGAGCAAGCCTACTCAAATACTAATTAAGCTTCAAATAATAGAAGAGCAGAACTGACAACCTAAACGCTCAAACCAGCCCAGAACAAGTGTGGTTTGTTCAAAAAGGTAGAGAAAAAAGGGAAATCTGAAGGGGAAACCTCCAGGAGCATGAGCACTTATGAGAAAAGCCATAGCTGAAATAGTTTGGAGCAAG